GCAGGGGACGGGACACATCTGGCTGGATGACGTGAGCTGCACCGGGAGGGAGGAGACCCTCACCCAGTGCCGAGCCCGTCCCTGGGGACAGAGTAACTGCAGCCATACAGAAGACGCCGGCGTGATGTGCTCAGGTACGTCCTTGCTCCTGCAACACAGGGTGTCGCGGGGAGGCCAGGAGGTGTCCGTCCTGCGCCTCGCTGCCTCTGGGGTGATGCCGCAGGAGGATCAAGCCCTTCCTGGGGCAGGGGATCCTTTCGCCCCAACACCACCAGGGACTGCCACCAGCACTGTGGTTATCCCCAACCCATCATGATGTTTCTGTGGTGCTTCCAGACACCAGCACAACCAAAACATCGACTGTTCGGCTCATGGACGGCCCGCATCGCTGCGCCGGGAGGGTGGAAGTCTTTCACGAATGGCAATGGGGGACGGTCTGTGACGATGGCTGGGACCTGAGCGCCGCGGGGGTGGTGTGCAGGCAGCTGGGCTGCGGGGTGGCCGTGGCGGCCCTGGGAAGGGCTCCCTTTGGGAGGGGGCTGGGTCCCATCTGGATGAGCATGGTCACCTGCATCGGGAGGGAGAACTCGCTCAAGGAGTGTCGGACCAGGCCCTGGGGAATCAGCCGCTGCACCCATGAAGAGGACGCTGCCGTGATCTGCTCAGGTGATGCTCATTCCTCTGAGGTCCTACAAGCACAGCTTGGAGCTCTGCAAACCCCCGCCAACCCCTTTTCCTCTCCAACCCAACTCCAGAAGCATTGGCTGCAGGAAGGAGATTTCAAGGGCACAGGGTCTCATCCCCTTGGCAGATCATGTTGGCCCCCATCTCCACACCCCAGTAGCCCATGGAGCTGCCCCGATCCAACTGCCCTTGGCCCAGATGAACAGGGAAGGGGGTGGGGAAAGGACATGGATACCCAGGTTGGGATGCAGGCTGCACCAAGACCCTGATGGGTCCTAATGAGGCTCCGTGAAAGGAGACTTGTTTCTCCCCTTCCCTATCAAAGAGACGGAGTGTTTTTCCCCTTCCCTATCAGAGAGATGGAGTCTGGAGGCCAAATTAGGTGCCTGGTGGTGCTTATGAAGCCCCAAGGGCCATGCCTGCCTGCACGTCTCTGCCAGGCAGCGCTCAGGCCAGGATCTGTCCTCCCATCCCACCATGGCTGGACATCTGCCCTAGGTTTGCACCCCAGCCACTGCCACCAGAAAGCTTCACCCTGGATATGCTGTCCTTGTCCTCAACGCCTGCTTCTCTGCCCGCAGAGCCGGCCAGGTCAGAGGTGGCAGAGGTCCGTCTGGCAGACGGACCTAACCGCTGCGGCGGGAGGGTGGAGGTGCTCCACGCCGGGCAGTGGGGGACGATCTGCGATGACATCTGGGACCTGAAGGACGCAGAAGTGGTGTGCAGGCAGCTGGGCTGCGGCAGAGCTGAGGCAGCCCCCGGCCGGGCTCGCTTCGGGCAGGGGATGGGGCACATCTGGCTGGACGACGTGAGCTGCACCGGGAACGAGGACAACCTCGCCCAGTGCCGAGCCCAGCCTTGGGGACATACTAACTGCAACCACAGAGAAGATGCCGGCGTGGTGTGCTCAGGTATGTCCTTGCTCCTGCAATACAGCTCACTGGGGAGGGAGGGGACAGGAGGGTCTATCCTGCATCTGTCTGCCTCTGGGGTGATGCTAGCCCTGGAAACGCATGTTTTTTGGGGAGGCAGCCTGGCAAAGTGTCACAGCCTCTTTTTGGCCAGGCTTGTCCCCAACCCAACAACAGGTTCCCACCCCATAACCAACATCTTATCAAAACCTTCACACCCCTCTCCCGGTGGCACAAGTGAGCCAAACCCTGTCTCGAGGGGACTGCCCAACCTCGAATCTCCAGCCTGGTCCACATGCTTGCATGGATGAGACACCACCATTTTCAGGCACGAAGGTGCAACTGAAGTCCATCCCTACAGCCACGCTCCTCTGGAAGGGCTGGTGGGATTGCATCTCATGCTGGGGGAGGCCATAATGACTCTGTATTTGCACTCTGGCATCTGGTTTGGGGATTTTATTTTTTTTTTTTTTGGTGAGGTGATGGGTGCCCTTTCCTCCTTTCCTAACCACATTTTTCCTGGCAGATGCCAATGTCACGGAGGAGACGCTGGTCCGCTTGGCCGATGGCCCGAACCGCTGTGCCGGGAGAGTGGAGGTGTTTCATCAACAGCAGTGGGGGACCATCTGCGACGACAGCTGGGATTTGAATGAGGCCAAGGTGGTCTGCCGGCAGCTGGGCTGCGGGACAGCCGTGTCGGCCCCGGGCCAAGCTCGCTTCGGGCACGGAGTGGACCCCATCTGGCTGGACGACGTGGAGTGCACCAGCACAGAGAGCACCTTCTCCCAGTGCAACCTTAGGAGCTGGGGACTCCATAATTGCAACCATGATGAAGACGCGGGAGTCGTGTGCTCAGGTGGTCCCCAGAGGAATGCTCAGATGACCCAAAAAAAAGGGGTTTTATCTGGGACAGGGAGGCTGGCAGCGCTGGTGGGATGTCAGTGATGGCAATGACTTTGCAAGGCAGCTGGGGGAGGGAAGGGTGCAGCAGGTACAGGCGGCACGTGGCACGCACGCCCACCCTTGCGCACCTCTCTCCCTCTGCCAGCGGGGTTGGAGAGACCACCTCACCTCCTCGCGCTCTTCCTTGCAGGCACAAACCCCTCGCGCGTGCGGGTGCAGGACGGCCACGGTCCCTGCGATGGGCGAGTGGAGGTGCTCTACAACGCTACCTGGTACGGGGTGTGCAGCAGCGAATGGAGCTTGCTGGAAGCTGAGGTGGTCTGCAGGCAGCTGGGCTGTGGGCCAGCCCAGTCGGCACCTGACGGAGCCCAGCTCGGCTGGGAGGGCAGCGGTGCCTTGCTGGAAGAGCTGAGCTGCTTGGGGAGCGAGTCACTGCTCCTGGAGTGCCAGCAGAGAACGACTGGTCCGGGGCCGCGC